CAGCCTTCTCCCATTTAAATTTTGTGTAGGTATATACTGTTAAATGCTGAAGTTTGGAGAGATTTTGTAGCAGTTCATCAAGTGTTTCAGGTATTCTTCCACCAAGACCAAGATATTTTAGATTTGTTAAAATGTTAAGGCCTTGGGGTAGTTCTTCAATTGATGTCCTAGAAAGGTCCAACTTTTTTAAGCCTACAAGGTTGGATAAAGATGGTACCTCTCTTAAGGACTTACAATCCTTCAGCAATAATGTAGTAAGCTTCTCCAATTTGGACACAGAACTCGGTAGCCTACTTAGCTCATGATTGTTGGAAAGATCAAGAATCTTGAGCCCAAGCATATGCTCAAAAAAAGCTTCTGGAATTGTTGAAATCTTGTTATTGGACAACAGCAAGGTTGTGAGCATAGGACACTTTGGAGACAGCATGCTTGAGGGAATTTCTATTATGTGATTCCTCATTAAAGAAACCTTCAAAAGATCTTCACTCCATTCATGCCCCTTTGGTAGTTTTTCCAAGGCCATGCCAGCTTTCACCAAAAATTGAGGGCTAATATCCAATGCCATTTCTCGGAAAAGATCGTGCATAGTCACGCAATCCTTTCCATATTTATTTTTAACCGATTCCAACAAGCAGTTGTCAACCAGCTTGTCAAGTATCCAATGACCGTCCCAATTCATTGCCTCCCTAGTTTCCCCTTCTTTATATATATACCCCTCTTCAATCCAACACTCAATTAACTCCTCCCTTGGGATTTCATAATCTTCAGGATATAATGCACAGTATAAAAAACACTCTTGGCATTGTGATTCTAAGCACTCATAACTAAATTTCAAACGATCAATAATTCCTTCAAATTTGCTCAATTTAGTAAGTGCCCACTTCCATGAACGAGGATCTAATTTTCCTCTCATAGTTTTGGCTACTGTCACAATAGCAAGGGGTACTCCGTCACATTTTTGCAAAATTTTCTTCAAAAATGGATCTATATCTCCTTTAATTCTGCCACCTAACAACACTGCACTTCCAACTTTCTCCAAGAATAATTCTAATGCATCTTCAAGTGGAAGAGGATTCACAGAGATCACCTCACACTCCATCGCACGAGCAACATCTTGTAACCGCGTCGTGAGTACTAACTTGCAACCATTATTTCCATCTAGAGTAGGAATTCCAACATCTTCTACACAAAATTGCTGCCACACATCATCTAGAATTAGCAGAGAGTTGCCTTGCCTCAACTTTTGTGAAATCAATCCTGCAAGCTTGGTTTCATTCTCATGATCCTCGGGCTCCAGTTTTAATTCCAAGCTACTTGCAATCCTTTTCTGAAACTTGAGAATATCAAACTTTTTTTTTTGCTGGACAATAATGTCAAAGTCTCTTGACACTTTTACCCAAATAACATTGTTAAATTTGGATTCTTTCAATTTGGATTCTTTCAATAGTTGGTTGTGGACTTGCTTCATAATTGTGGTCTTGCCCACACCACCCATTCCTGAAACTGCAATTCTTGTAACCTCATCTCCCTTCAACCATTCCAGAATTTGATCTTGTATATCATCCATGCCCCTGCATTCTTCAACAAGTAGTGGAACTCCTTTGATTGAGTGATCATCTATGACCAAACTCACACCAGCATTAGTGAATTCTTTTCCTTGCTCAAGTATTTGCCTCAATTCTTCAATTTTTTTCCAAAGGTTGGATGGAGAGGAACATTCGCCTTGGCTAATCAGATCTTCAACCTTTATGTCAATCTGTTGGCTTGCTTTCTCCATCCAGTCTTTAACTTCATTGCTTGCCATCTTTCCCGGCTGCAGAAGCGAAGTCTCCAATTTTGCCTCAATGTCTTTCTGTCGGAGCTTCAGCTGCTCTTGCATTTCTTTAAATACAGTTGCACCACGCTCACTTGAGTAAACATCTATGACCAAACTCTCACCAGCATTAGTATATTTTTCTCCTTGCTCAAATATTTGCTTCAATTCTTCAATTTTTCTCCTGAGGTTGGATAGAGAAGAGCATCCCCCTTGGTTGATTAGATCTTCAACCTTTATGGGAATTTGTTCGCCTACTTTCTTCAACCACTCTTTAACTTCCATGCTTGCAATCTTTCCAGGTTGCATAAGTTGAGTCTCCAATTTTGCTTCAATGTCTTCCTGTCGGAGCTTCAACTGCTCTTGCCTTTCTTCAAATACAGTTGCCCAATACTCAATTGAGGGAGTATCTACGACCAAACTCTCACCAGCACTAGTGTACTTTTCTCCTTGCTTAAATATTCCTTCAATCAGTGATTGAGTCCTTTTATCGAGCTTTCTTGAGGAGCAAATATATGTGAAACAGCCCCCTTTGCAGATTAGATCTTCAGCCACGTTTTCTGCAGTTTCTTGGTCTGCTTTCTCTAGCCAAGCTTCAACTTCCTCCTTTGCAATCTTCCCAGTCTGCATAAGCTGAGCATGCAGTCCTTTTTCAACGTCTTGCCGTCGATGCTTCAGCTGTGTTTGCATTTCTTTGAATTCATTGACATAATCATTGTGACATATCTGATACTTGACATATTTCTTAATTGTAGGTATAACATCCTTCACAATATCCGTGACTGGTCCTATGGTGTCCATTAGAGAGTTCCTGCATTTATGAAATTGCTGGATATAAGCTAATTATGCCTTAAATGAAAGAAGGAAAGGAATAAAAGTGTTTAGGAGAAAAACAACTCGAATTGGAAATTAATGGTGGAAGTACCATGAATGACTAATTTATTTGGTTTTTATAAATTTGGTAATTATTAAAAATTAAAAATTAAAAATTTATTTTAAAAAAGTTTTAACACTGATAATAAAAAGTATGAACTTGTTTAATAGTATTAAAATTATTTTTATTCTTTTTCTCAATAATCTTACTAATA